CTGCACTTGGCCCCTGCCCCTTCTCTCCTATCAGACACCCAATCCCATCCACTTAGTGGCTTAATTTCCTGTATGTTGATGGCTGCAAAGTCTGCATGTTAATCCCTTACGTGGGGCCTGCACATCAGACTTACCGACACAGCTACCTGATGGTCCTACCCACTTAGATAAACTACAAATACCCCCAACTGAATTTGTCTATAACTAAACCTCTCTCCCATGATTTCTCTCTAGCAAGGTCAGGATCACCTACCCAAGCCAGAAAATAGAAGTTATCCCAGACTCCTTTCTCCCTCATTCTCTTTCCCCCAATACTCCCTACCACATGTATCAAATCTGTCTGTGATTTTACCACCACTCCTCACTTCACACTTTGCCTTTTAGTGGCTTCTAATGAGTGGTTCATTTTCAGTGGTTCATGCTTAATTAGTAGCATGGCAGCCCCTTAGAGGAGGTGAGGTCTAAGCATAGAACTAGAAGAGAGTAAATATTCAGTAGTCTATTTTCCTTTCCACATTTTATTACTTGAGAATCTGACCTCTTATGAAATTTGTTTTATTTTTAGCAATATAATAAAAATCAAAAGTTTATGTGGTTGTAGTTTATACTTTAATTCTGTTATAAAACCTATCACAACTGATTAATTCTGTAATTATATGGCAAATACTTATAACTATGTGATAATTGCTATGTGATGAAAAAAAAACATCGCTACTTTGAACTCTTTTAGGTAGAGCAGATTGCCCATATTATGCTAAAGCAGAACTTCTAGCAGACTACTTGCAAAAGAATCTTCCTGACTTTCGGATACCTAAAATTACACAACATCCTCATGTTTGGGAGGTAAGCCTTTACAATACATGCCCATGTACTGTTGATGTTTTAATACTAATAAATTCCAGTTATCAGTCTCAAAATATTATTTATGCACTTTCCCCTAATACCCAGTAGAACAAAGAAGACCCTAACCAATATGTAGAATAAATTTGGCTGGTTTCCCCCCCAAGAAACCAGGTAGCTTATATTGAATTTTTAAACTGTTAATTCTCTTTCATAGTGATTTCTAATGACATCAGGGACTTGTTCATCTGAAATACCCTTTTGGGGGACTGTTTCCCCAGAAACAGCCTGAGATGGATATCTGGGTGAAGGAGTTTCCTTTACTGAGGAGTTGCCCTTGGGAACAACATCCTGGGAAGGAATGGGAGCAGCAGGGCTGGGCAACAGGAGAAGGTGAAGTGCCTAAGAGCTGCAACAGAAGGCTCAGCTGGCCCCACGAAGGGACCCTGAAGTTGGGCTGACCCTCCAGAGCGACCCCAAATATAGGCAAGGGGGCTGGGGTGTTGTACTCCCACAGCTAACAGTTACTAACGGTTGGGGCTGCCCTTGGGGGAGGGAATTAACCTTAGGCAAGGGAACTTCCTTGGACTGAGGTCAATTCCTGGAGACTGAGCACTGAGCCATCAGCAGCCAGTCTACCTGGTGGCTGAGGGAATGAGTGCCTTGATCATGAAGGGGAATCTGGACTATGCAAGACGGATCTGCTCTACTATCCAGTTGTGCCTTTTGGATACATGCGCGCCATGTAAGTTCACACCATCTGAGAATAGCCCTTCTGGGATTCCAGTTGGCGTCTTTCCCTGGGGCAGCTTTACAAGAGCAAGGTTCATCAAATGGCCTGCAGTCTCCCCTGCACATTTTTTCAGGGCTTTAATGATACTCATCACCTCTTTTTTACTCTCCATTATAGATTCCCCTCACTCAGTGCTGGTCTAGGGGTGACTTACTAGCTCTATTGACTAGCTTTATATCCTTAGGGATCTGAGCCTTAGTCTCTATTCCTTTCCAAGATGTGACTGTTGTACTTGCCCGTTTGCTGTAAAATTGAGCAAGGCAGTACCAAAAGTGCCCCAGTGGATCACCTAGATGGCAAAGTCTTTCCTGCCCACATGGGGTAGTAGCTGCCCTACTTGCTTCCAATTAGAAGGACCAGTTACCCTTCCCAGGATGGTAACTCCTTTCCTTGCTTGCTGGCCTCTTAGCACAAGAGCTCAAAGTGACCAAATGGCAGCCATAGCTTAGACTTTAATAGGAGTCTTTCTGATGAAGCCCTACTGTGGGATTTAGAATCTCCAGACCCATAGTATCTACAGGAGGGGGTTGAGGGCAGCACAGATTCCCCAAGGAGGAGCAATGGTAGACAGGATCACTCTTAATTTCATCCCTTGGCTTCTGGATTCATGTATTCTACCTATTTGGGCAAAACACTATATTGATTTATGGTATATATTGCATCCTGAAAGATGGTGCTCCATCCTTGCAAGGTATTAGCCTCCAAGCTGCTGCCTGCAGCTTCCTTAGCTGTATATGTGCTGAATCAAGTCAAAGGGAATCATTGCCTTTTCCAAGGTGGAAGGGGCCCAATGTAATCAACAAGTCACCAAGAGGCTAGTCGGCATCTTCAAGGGATAGTGCCATTATCAGGGCATCAGTGTTGGTCTCTGTTCTGGCACACTGGACGTTTAGCAGCAGGCTGGCTAGATCAGCTTTGGTGAACAGTAGCTGCCTCCCTAGGGCTGTGTTCTTTGTAAGCCCATCACACCTTCAGCATCTAAATCATCTTACCTGCTTAGTTGTCTCATGCTTCTTTCACAACAGATGTTCTCTAATTCTCTAATGGACACTGCCTCCTGACCTCTTTTGTTTCAGGATTCTATCAACCCAACTGCCAGGGAGTCCAGCATTATAACAACATGTCCTTTAACAGCCCTGGCCTAGAATGCGCCACACTTCTCAGTGATCCTGAGACCCCTCTCCCCAGTGCAGTCCTTATCGTTTTGGTGACTGTAGGCTGAGAACACAGTTGACTAGTAGGTTTTCCAACCTTGCATTGTACCAAATTCACTCCAGCATGTCCACTTTTTGTAAGCTTTTTGATTCCTTCTTTCATTGTCTTCCATGGCAGTTCTGGCATTTTTATTTTTCTATTTCATTTCATGTTGTTACCTTAAAAATAAAACAGTCCATTATTTTACCAGCAAAAATGTCTTTATTCAGGAATAGCAGAGAATTGCACTTCAGGACATGCAATCTGTGGCAAAACCATGGGCAAGTCCAGAGAACAAAGGATAGGAACACTCTTTCAGAGAGGAAGTACCCAGTTGAGAAGCACTGTTATAAACAAAATATCCACTGGAATAAACTAGGAGTTCCAAGTGTGTGGCTTCTCATTGGCTGAGCTGTTGAGGAGGAGACCCAAATCTTCCACCCTCCTGCTGGTAGTGAAGTAGCACTGGCTTGGCCTGCCAGTGTCACGTCAGGGAGGTTTCCCTGTATTAATTTTCACAGTGTGAACCATCACTTTCTCCAAACTTCAGAAAGCCATCCTAGCAATGTGTTGTCACTATCTTGTGAAGTCCTTGCCAGGGTGTACACTCTTGAATTGCAGAAGAGTGATTCCTATTGATTAATTCTCCCTTGTTCAACTTTTATGATCCAGTCTTGTTTAGCCCCTCAGATCCCATCCTATACATATTCCCCCAGCTCCTGCCAGGACATCAACATGCCGTGCTTGGTGCTGAAGGCCCTCTGGGTTAAAGTCCTGACACAGGGAAGAACAGGGGGACAGCCCGTGTCCAGTTAGAGCAAGACAAGGGCCCTGGGAAGGACAAACGAGACGCTTACTAAGGACCTTGGAAATGTGAAAAAGGAGACTTGCAGCTGAAACAATGCAACAATGTATAAGAAGGTTCTCACTGAACCTCTGTAATAAAGAACCATTTTTACTGACTATTAAGTCACGTAGCTCACTAGCTTGACCAAGGAATACTAGTTAAAAATAGAAATGACCTTTAGTATGATTGGCTAGAATCATTCTCTCTCATTATTTTTCACATGCCTAGTCCATGCAACAGGCATAAAACCCCTAGACCTGAGCCCGTAAGGGGCAGGCAGCCTTGCTCCTCCCAGTATGTGCCTGGGACTTCGGTATTTTTGCTTCTATCAATGGAGAGCTAACTGCTTGCTTGCCTACCTTGAGCGTTTGCAAGGTTCATTCTTTGACTCTGTAAACAAGAACCCCAGTGTCATCTTTTGGGGGCTGGCCAAGATCTCTCCCTGTTCTCAGCTGCCTAGAGGCAGCTCTCACTTTAATGAATTCCTTCCTTACCTATACTCGTCTGACCCGTTGGAGAATTCTTTCCCGTCCAGAGTCAAGAGCCCTCAGCCGGTCCAGGTTGAGGTTTCTCCTAGTGCTCAGGGACCAGCTTCCCGGCAACAGCCCCTTCCTCCAGCAGCCCAGCACTTCGCTGGTCCGGCTCTGCTGTGACGAGGGGGACTCTGGTGGAAGCCTCACAGCAGCACTACTTGCTTTAAGGTGGGATAAAGGCAGAGATCTCTTCAACATCAGCAAAAGGAATTAGTTTCTAAGATTGATTTGTAAGTAGTTTCATTACATATGCCTCCAAAGATAAGAATGCTATCATGTCCTTTACCCATAGGATGTTGTTCTCTGTCTCTACCCACTTCTTGTCATTGGGAGGCCTAGTCTACACAAATCGGATAATGATGATTTAAACTTTTTCTAATAAATATTGTCAGACATCCCCAGGTAACTTTGAGCTAATCAATTCAATCTAAATGATGTAAACTATATCTACACATTTGAAAGCAATATCATATTGTTATGGCCCTAAGATTGGAAATATCTCATACAGTAGAAAAGCAAAGAATCAGCTGAAGTATTTTTGAAATCAGTTGAGTTGGAAGAGTTGGTCTCTCTTTAAGCTAAACACTTATACTTCTTGTCTCCTCAGCAAAGAGAGCAACTGTCAGTACCTTTATTCAGTTGGCCTTTACTCGGTCAAGGGATTTGAAGAATATTCTTTCTTATTTGATTAATTTGTTACTTAATGCTACTATTTTCTATATTTACATTTTGACAGTCTAAAGATATCTAAATTTTCTTATGCACAGTAGTAATAAAAAACAAGGTAGTTAGTGTTTAAATTCTAAAGTATTGAATTCTGAGGCAGATTCAGTGTGTGACTTCTCATGGAATATCACCCAATAGGAATGGCTGAAAGATTTGTGTGAAAAGAATAAGTGGAGTCACCGAAATTCCCCCATCATCTGGAGAGAGCTGTTGGATCGTGGAGGGAAAGGTTTGCTTTTGGGAGGATATAATGAATTCCTGGAGCATGCCCAGGTATATAAATTAATTTGACTTCTCTGTTTATTGAAACATTGTCATTCTCTCTCATTATTTTTCACATGTCTTCCTTTCTAAGGTATTCTCTCAGCTCTCTTTTTTAACTCTGTTCTGGCTTTAAACAAGAACTTTCCATCATAGCCATTGTCATCTAATTATCTCTCTCTCTGGTGTTGACTTTTCCTTTTCCGATACTTAGCTTTACTACAGTGTCACCCCTAGCATGACGACTGAGCTGATGAAGGTAGTTGCTCAAGAGAACCTAGAGACACACATAGCAGAAGAGCTGGAGGAAGAAGACCAGAAAGGTCTCATCAACCCCTTGCAGGTCTGGATCACCAGGTGGGAGAATCAAACCCCAGGGTCTATGAGTTTGGTTTTTTTGTATTTAGAAAGGACAATGATGTGGGATTAATTCCATGATGGAAGAATAGCTGAATGTCAAGTCTGAGATTTGGATGGATGGATGGATAGATAAATAGGTAGCTAGCTAGTTAGATAGATAGGTGTATTTATACATATATGTCCCCCATTATAGCCCCATATATGAGTTTTAGATAATATTTATATACACACATAGTGAATCTAAGTGCAACTTTATAGTGAAGAAATTACTTTGGTGACTGTCTCCAGCTCTTGTCCCCTCATCCTGTGTCTTTCATGCTCTGCGGCTCTCATCCTGCTCCTTGCCTTGCTGTCCTTCTTTCTCTTCCCCTTGCTTACTTTCCCCACCCCCATCGCACTGGCTGTTGCCCTCTCCCTCTTTCCAGCCTGCCAGCGCCCTCCTTGGCTCTTGCTTGGCGCTCATTCTCTGTAACCCCTTGTTGTGTGCCAGGCTCAGCCTATCAGTAACTAATGCTGAGGCTGGACTGGCCTGTGTGGATCTTATGATTGCAAGATGCCCTCACCCTTAACCATCAGGAAACTTGGAAAATAAGGGTTTATTACTTCAAAGTTTTGGAAATTATGTGGCACACTTGAGGGCACAGAGTGAGGCAGGAGAGAGAAGGTTAAGAGCAAGAACATGCAAGCACTCAGGGACTTAGGCTTCGCAGGCTCACTTCTTACTGGGGAAATTAAAACCAAGAGCAGGAATTTAAAGCTCAGGAAGAGACAAAACGAGTGGTCAGTTACGGAAATCACCAAGATTGCTAAAACAAAGGAGCCTCCATGTGGGGAGGCGGCCTGGCTGTCTATCTAGTCAGTGGCTGGCAGTGTGTTTATTCAAGACAGCCATCTTTGAAGAGGATGCCTCCCTGGCAGTCAAAGTTTAAGTCAGGAATTTGCATTACTTAAAAGAAAAAAAATCTGTCAGGGTTTACACCTCCACCCCACCCCTCACTTTCGCCCCTCATTACTCTAGGTCTTGGGGCATGCCGTATGTCATCGCCTGCTCTCTCTGTCTTTGCGTGCTGTCTCTCTTTGTCTTGCTATTCTTCTTGCTCTCTCCCCGTTTCCTTCCCCCAACTTCCACCTCGCAAACTGCCCTCCCCACCACACATGTGTGTATTCTAATATAGACACTCACTTGAAAAAGTTTTTGTTATAAAATGTATCGAATATAGAAAAAAAAACCTAAGAATGATATAGTAAAAATACATGAACCTAAAACCCATATTTAATTTTAGATAATTTTTTAAGGATTAAAATTGTAGAGATACTGTTGTACTCCTCCCCAAACCCACTATGAAAACCAAAAATGCCCAGGTGCATTTCTGAACTCCCCTCAGGGGTCACTCAGCCCCCGGCTGGTAGCCAAGCTACAGAGTACCTGGATACTTGCTGAAAGGTGGGTGCAGGTACATGACGCCTAACTGATGTTGGCCGAGGCTTATTCATAAGGATTCAGAAAAGATGGTCCTTTTCAAAAAAATGTCATTGCTTTGTAGATAAAGGTATAAAATAGAAAAGAGCTATGGTTAAATTAAACTTGTTATTTTTCTATCCTTTTAAGACAAAATATGAACATGTAATTAGCGTGATGTGAAAGTTCTTTTAAATTTCACTTTCTGAATATTCTATTTCATTTGAAAAGCCTTGTAAACAGGTGCACTTCTAATTTTGACGTTATTCTTAGATGGCCAGAGCCAGGGGCTAGTAGTGAGAATTCTTTTGTCCTGGTTTGATTTCTGCCTTAAAAATGCCTATTCAACTGTGTATGCCAATTTAACATAGTAAATCACCCTATTAATGCACATACAGAAATGTCTCTTGAGAATAAAGGCTTAAATGGGGTGAAAGTTGTAACCATTCACAATCTGGCCTTGTATTTTTATCAGTGCTTCTACTCCTGCCTGCTACAACCTAATTCCCATCTTGACAAGCGGTGAAGTGTTTGGAATGCAAACAGAAATTAGCATAAATCTATTTGACAATAAGCAGGCAGAAGAATATCTGAAACTCCTGTTGACGGAGACTTGGGACCTGGTGTCCCCCTTACTCCGGAGTGTCTCCTTCTGCACTAGAGTGGAGGACGCCTTCCGCCAGGCCCACGTAGTCATCATTCTGGACGAGTGTACCAACAAGGAGGTATACACGTTAGAGGACTGCATCCAAAGCAGGGTTCCTTTGTGTAGGCTGTACGGGTACCTGATTGAGAAGAACGCGCATGCTTCCGTCAGAGTTATTGTAGGAGGAAAAACCTTTGTGAATCTTAAGACATTTTTGCTTATGCAATATGCCCCAAGCATCGCCCGTAATATTATCGCTGTTGCATTGGGGGTGGAAGGTGAAGCTAAAGCTGTGCTGGCCAGAAAACTGAAAACAACTCCCTCAAGTGAGTGAACTCCTGTGTCTGTTTTTGTTTTTAAATAATGTGATTTCAAAGCAGCTAGGAAGAACCCTGTATCCTCTAGGATCATTTGGGATACCTGGAATAGGAAGTATGAAGCAAACACAAAGAACTTCATTGTGCGATTTGACTATTATGCAAATAGTTTTTGTTTCTGTCTTTCATGAATATCTGACTTTGTCCATCATTATAAAATACTAAAAAAGAAATATTTAATATAAGATTAATATTTTTCAAGTAATACTTTGAAACCTAATATTAATTTTTTCCATGATAACAGTCAACTAAAATAATCAGTGCTTTTTAAAAAAGTATTCAAGTCTATGTTAAAGTGGCTCTATCCCACTTCCCACCTGAGTGACAATGGACAATCACTTAACTTTGCCATGCCTCTGTTTCCTCATCTGTAAAATGTGGGTGTTAATAGCACCTGCTTCCTAGAACTGATGAGAGGATTCAAAGAGATAATATTTTTAAAGCACTTAGAAGAGCAGCTGGCACCTGATAAACATTTGCAAGGATATTAAACTTGTCAATGAGATTGTGAGATCCAATCAGTTTCTCCTATTATTCTTTGTAGTCATCAGAATCCTATAAGGATGATGAGACTGGATCGGAATATGGATCGTTGTATTTAAAAAGGGAGTGCTGTATTCAAAAATATTTGTCATGTTTGACAAATTTTAGCTATTCAGGCCCTTATGGAGCAGGTGCAGCACAGTCCCAGCAGAGTCTGTTGGGAATGCTAGGAGGTGCAAGGCATCCCTCAAGCAAAATTGGGAAGACAGTGATGTGAGCCTAGGATGCCCTAAATCAGGGCATAAAGGACTTCTAAGTCCCTAACACATGACAACATGGGCTGTATTACCCATTTCTTTACACTGAAGCCCTAGAATCATAACTTCTGGTATTCTAGCACATAAATCTTGAGTGTCTCACCCCAGTGTCACTGCATACCTCAGCCAAACTGATACCAAAATTGTTCAGTAGGAAAGGAAAACATTTGTTAATCATTTTATCTCTGTTGTCAACCTTGTTGTGTATTGTAGCACTGATTTATCATAAAAGCTCTATGATACACTGATGAACATGTCAAGAAAAGGCAGTGTTGCACAATTTAAAACATGACAGGGGCTTTCAACTAGAAAGCTGCTCTTTTGTAGGGCTGGTGAGGGGCCATAAATTCTATGCCCTGCTGCACTCAAAGCCAATAAGCATATGAGAAGCAGAAAAGTTAGGGAAAGAAAAGAGACATTAGAGGATCAGCAGTCAAAGTAGAAACCCAACAACAACAAAGAAGTTAAACAAAGGGAATGAAATAGAACAACCATCAAAGAGAATCAGTCAGGGAACATTACAGATGCCAAGTGAGTAGCATGCCCTTTCAGGACATCCCTTGAGTTCAGTCACACATAACCCTGTTTCTCAGGCCATGTGCATTGGCTTAGTTCTGTTGCAAGTGACAGAAACTCCGCTCAAAGTCACTGGGGTCAGATAGAGAACTTCTTATGTGAGTGAAAAGTGCAAAAGGTAGTTCTTACTGCAGACACAGCTGGATGCTGGGGCTCAAATGATGATGTCAAGTCTGGCTTGTGCTCTCTCTTGGCTTATCACTCGTCTCTGCTTTCCTCAGCATTGGTTTGATTCTCAGGAAGGCTCTCTCTAAAAAGCGGCAAAATGGCCACTGACATCCCCAGACTCGTACATTTGTAGCTTACCTACCCCAGAAGAAAGAGGGCTCTCTCTCTCTCAATTCTTTGTACAAAAGCCTTAGCGTGATATCACATTGGCTGTTCTGGGACTACCTACCCATCTCCAAATCAATCACTGTAGCCAAGAATCTAGAATCTGGGGCTCGTGCCTATTGATAAACCTAAGGGGTGAGGACAGCTCCACCCAAACCATATGGGCTGAAATTGGCAAAAGGGTAGTTATTTAAAGAAAAATCAGGATGTTGTTAAAGAAAGAAAGTAGGAAGAGATGGTAGGAAGAAAAAACTGCAGGTGTCCATTATAATTTTCTCCAGCATAACTCAGGGCATTTAAGGCTCTGAAGAGCCTTGGAGCTGATAGGAAAAATTATTTCCCCAGCTGCCTGCTTTTGAACACAGCTGTGTGAGAATGTGATACTTGGAGCTGCTGCAGCCATTTTAGGACCATGAGAGGAAGGCTAAGAGACTAATGTCTTTGAAACTTTAATCTGAGAAAAGTAAACTCCTAGTTAAGCCAAGCAGGTAGAATATTCTGTTACTTGAAGCCAACAACAATTTTACCTCATACAGAACAGGAAAGAATTTAATCTCCACAATAGGATGTGGTATGACAGTATAAGAGAATTAAGTTTTTAAGCAAATAAGTTAATAAGTCAATAAAATTACTTATTTTTACTTTGGATATGACATACCTAGAAAATCCACAATTATGGAATCATATTAAACACCAATCCTTATTTCTCTTTAATCCCATCCTCCTAATTTTTTTTTCATAGTGTATATCACGTGTTATAGTAGCTGTTTTCTCACCCACTCTCCTCAACCCGAGAATATTGCGAGGATTTGGGCTGATCTGTTTTCTGCTAAGCCTCCCATCTGAAAGTGCTTCACACATAGAAGCTAATTCACTAACTGTTTGCTGATTAAGATGTTTCTCAGGGTCTTTTTATTACAACACCCTTATTCCGCAGGAAAGGAAACCCACCGGGAGTTAAAGCGATTTGCCTAAATTTCTCTTCCAGTCTAAAATCAAAGACTCTGTCAGAATCAAAGCAGATCAAAATTTCTCCTAATGGAAAACACGAGTAGTGAAGTTAGGACCAGACCAGTGGTATAATTTTCAGTAATAATATTCTTCAGGGAACATTTCCTTCAGTAGTTCTTGAATTCAATCATATGCCTACACTATTTATAGACATTATGAGGAATTGCCAGTCTAATAATTAAGGAGGTGATCCCCATCATTTGCACATTTTTCGGGAGCATAAACTTAGATCTGTTTTACAGCAAAAGGACCACTCCTAAAACAAACACACAAACAAAAAAATAGTTTGCAGGCAAGTTTTTAATTTTAACACCCATTGGTACATTAATTTTCTATTGTTTTTATTCACAGGCATCAAAGATGTGATAATTTGGGGTAATATTACTGGAAATAACTATGTTGATCTGAGAAAAGCCAAAGTTTACGGATATGAGAGTGCTATTTGGGGACTTCCTCACTATTCACGCCCTGTTTTAAGCTTGATTTTTGATAGGTATAGTAAATTTTTCAGTGAAGTATGCTAACAATGTTGAATAAGTGTATTAGTTGTTGTAATCTTAAATCATCTTACAAATCTTTGTACGAAAATAATTTAGCATTGTTCACATTCATCTTTATTTATACTCTCTGTTGAACAAATGGCTAATTTCACAGAATTTCAACTAGCTAATCCCCACCTCCAATTTATTTGATTTTGAAATTATGCATTTTTTTATTTCAGATTATCCTTAAAGCAGCTCATATATTCCATTAAGATTATCTCTAAAGCAAGCATATGTAAAGTGAGTCTTATTTAACATAAAGACAGAGATATTTATACAAGTTGAAATCAGTTGCAGCACTTTTGGGAATAAGGGATTAGGATCTTGAGCAGGCCCAGGCCATGCGGAGTGCTTGGTCCCAGAAGAGGCAGAATCAAGAAGTGGTGAGGACCACAGTGTCTAGAACCAAGCCCCTAGGTTGGAATTCTCACGTAGACAATTATTCGCTGTGCAACTTCAGAGAAGTTCCTTAACCTCTCTGTGCCTCATGTTTTTCATCTGCAAAGTCGAAATGGTGACATAGTATGGGCCTTATAGGGTTGTCGGGAAGATGAAATGGATTCACGTATGCAAAGCACTTAGAACTGCACCTGTCACAGTCAACGGTACCATTATGATGAGGCAGAAGAGGGCCTGGAAGCATTTTTCTAAACTTTGCAGTACATTCTCAGATGCAGCATTTCCTTCCGTCGTCCCTACTCACCTTCCCTTCCTCAGAACATAGGCACTGCATCCATGCCTAGAAACTGTGTGTCCTGGGTCTACCCTCTTGGAGCCTGGTGCCTGCGTGCTGGCTGCCACATAAGGGCCGTGTCTCGTGGAGCTGAATCGCGCTGCCTCATCAGGGGAAGCCATTTAGTGTTTGTTCTAGCCCAGGTGGGCTAGTCCCTGAGTTTACATTTCAGATTATAAAAACTTAATTAGTTCCCTATTTCTCAATGTGAATGATTTAACATTTTATGATATTATTTTATTTAAAATGAAGGATACCACTGGTTCCAAAATAGCATCTACATAGAATAAATTCCTTGTAATAAAAGTAATTGTCTTGCAGCCTTTGACCACTTTTCTGTGTGCCATATTTATATTATCAGATGCTTACTAGGAAACTTTGGGACTCCCTTCTGCTGTATCTCATCACTTTTCAGCTGGCTTTTTAATGGGGTTAAAGAAGCTTGAGGAAGGGTCACAAAAAGTCATATTTCTATTTTGGAGAGATGCTTTCTTATAGTTAGATCCGTTGACCCAAAGAACATTCTTTTTCATTTCCATTTCCTCCCTCCGTTGTAAAATTGTTTCTTTTTCTCCTTATAGTGAGTGGATAAACCAGGAATTTGTGGCAACTCTTAAAAAGTTGACCACCACAGGAAGACAATTTGGAGGCATCTTAGCAGCACACAGCATAGCCACTACATTGAAATACTGGTACCATGGCTCACCACCGGGGGAGATTGTGTCTTTAGGAGTATTAAGTGAAGGTAAATCTGGGTTTTTCATATCCTGTAATATTTTAAAACCTCCATGTGTTCCATGTACTCCTACTTCTGCATCCCCACCTGTCTACCTTTTAACATGGTCTGTAAGCTGTCTGGATTTTCATAATTCCACAACCATTCATTTATTCATGTATGCATTCAGTTATCCATTCAGAAATTCAGCAGTATTTTGTATGCATGCACTGGGAACACTCAGAGGTATTAGATCTGTCCTCCACCTTCTGGAATCCTATAAGAGTACAAGAGAGCCAGATACATAAACAAAATAGTTCTATCAAGTTTTTCTCGCTGTACCCTAACTGAGGAAAGGAGAGCATGGTCAGTTTTATTTGGGCAGGCTGCTGGAAGAATCAGGACAAGTTTCATAAAGGAGATGACACTGCGGAAGCCTTCAAGTCTGAGTAGTGATTACTTGCTGTTAAGTGTGGGAACAACATCCGGGCACAGGAGCCATAGGAGCAAAGACAGAGGCAGGATGCAGAGCCCATCAGGACCCAGGTGTTAGGGCAACAAGAATGCGGAAAGCTTGCTCTCCATCTACAAATTCTGTATAAGCATGTTTACAGCTTTACTGCTTTAATCTACTAAACACTATTCAGAGGACTTATACCATTTTTGAAAAGTAGGAATCAGAGAACAGTTGGTGTGTCCTGTTCTGAAGGGTTTACCTAAACCATCTCTTCCTTTTGTGCTTTTCTTTCTCCCTGTGCGAGCTCATTCACTTCCGAAGCTTCAGGCCTGGACATCCCTCTCAGCCCTAGACTGAAACATTGTCACCCGGATGTCATACTGTCACTTTAAACTAACACACACCAAACTGAACTTATGGTCTTCCTCCCCAGTCTGATCCACCTCTTGTGCTCCTTATGTTATTAGAGGAACCACCATCCTCCCAGTTGTTCCAATGACACAGTGCAGCTCAAGGAAATATCCTCAAATCCCCCAAGTCAACATGCATCTGTCTTTCCTCTCTACTCACTGATCATTTTGATCCTCTATCAGAGAACATATTACAGCCTGCATTTATTGGTGATGTGCTTAGCTGCATCTGTTCCCTCTGTTAGTGTGTGTGCGCCCTAGGGCAGCATTTTGGCTGGGTCTTCTTGCTGCTCCTTCATGGGTAGATGCTCAGTGGAGCCAGCTCAATTAGAGTTAAGATGCACGAGCACCCCCATGATGTGAATTCATATCAATATGTGGCCTTTTCACTGAAATAGGCATTTAAGGCCTTATCTTTATTTGTAAAAAGAAATTAACTTCTTTAGGAATCATCAATAAATAATGCAATATTGAGGTCAAGGAGCAGGTGATCATTATGTCCCTGAAACCATACCATACAGGGAAACCCTCTTATGTGTCCTCCCATAAGTCTGGCTCTTTACAGATACAGCAAATGGAGAGTGAATAGAGGACCTGAGGTACCTTTAAGGAAGTCTTTTAGATCCTGGCTTCTTGATTATCCTCAATTTTTTGCTCTAGTGACACTTTTGATGACTAGAATGGCAAGAATAATTTTCTTATTTGATTGAGGCACAAAAATGGGTGGGGAGGGCAATTTAATGTGAATGTTGCTCAGTTAGTACTAAGGATTATCAGTCTTTTTTATTTGGAGCACATCCAAACTTGGAACTGAGCTGCGAGGAAGTCATCAAGTTTCCCGCCCTCTCTTTTTCCAAGCCCTGTCATCCCATGCTAGCTGTGGGACTGCTATGGTAGGCTAGGAGATTGGACAAATGCCTGGGGCTCATGGGTACCTAGAAGGACAAGGAAAAGCCCCAGGAAGCAAGATTAAAGGGATCCAGACAAGGCAGAAGAGAAAGACAACATGAGCCCCTGAGGCAGAGGCAGAGGATCTGAAGTGCTAGACCAAAAGGTATAAAAAAACAGAGTTGTGGTTCTTCCTGCTGAGTGGCACACAGAAGGGGAATGGTCAGAACTTGGAGAGGTGCCCAATCAATACTTCTAGGGTAGGTGTTTCAGGCCACCCTGGGAAGGAATTCCAGAAATGTGATCCCACCATTTTCATTAAAAATCATGTACGCTGCCTGTCCTTGTCTACAATGCCTAACGGTGCTTGTGTTTGGCTGTGCTTGGATCGCTCACTACAGGCCAATTTGGGATTCCTGAAGGGATCGTCTTTTCTATGCCTGTGAAGTTTGAGAATGGAACTTGGGTGGTTCTTACAGATCTCAAAGATATCAAAATAAATGAAAAAATAATGACCAGAATAACAAGTGATCTACTTCAGGTAATGTCAGAATAGATACAAGGGAACTGACTTTGATAATGACCTTAACTTGAGTCCACTAGGCCAAGGCATACAGTGATTTTCTGTGGGTTCAGTGTTCATCATATTCCTAAAACAGTAAGGAGGATAAAAGTTTGAAGAAATCAGCAAAAGAACACTACTCATTATTTTATGTAATTTCTGGTATGTTAAAAAATATTTGTTGGTTACTTAAAAATTAAGAGTGTTTTTTTGTTAAAGAATAATTAAGTTAGTCATTGTGGCCATTTAATTCTCTGATTATAAAATTTTTCAACAGGAAAAACTTGTTGCTCTTGGAGATTTGATAAGTTTTCAGCCATATCAATCAGGTAAACTTTTAGATGTGATGTTTTATTGGGCTGCTAGTGAAAGAGTATTGAAATATTTGTTAAAACTGAGTCACTACTTAATACAGGTAACTATAATCCATATTTTGACACTTAAATAAATCCATAATTTGACACAAAATAAATTTCCGACAAAATAAATTTCCAGGTTCAGTGTACTCTTTGAAATAAAGCATTTCATAAGAATGCTAGAGAAGGCACATCTTAAAAACACCATGACCTTTTAAGTTTGGTGTGCACCATATGTATTAGTTTCCTAAGGCTATCATAACAAATTACCACAAACTGGATGTTTTAAAACAAAAATTTATTCTCTCATGGACTGGACAATAGAACACCTAAATCAAGGTGTTTCCGGGGCTATGCTGCCACTGAAGGGCCTAGGAAAGAACCTTCCCCTCCCTCTTCTAGTGTGTGTATTTATATAGACACATATATGTGTGTGTGTGTGTGTGTGTGTGTGTGTGTGTGTGTGTGTGTGTGTGTGTGTGTGTGTGTCTATGTTTTCAAATCCCCCTTTCCTTATAAGGATACCAGTCATTGAATTTAGAGCCAGTATGACCCCATTTTAACTTGATTATATCTGCTGAAACACTATTTCCAAATAAGGTCATATTCACAGTTACCAGGAATTAGGACTTCAGCATATCTTTTTGGGGACACAGTTCAACCCACAACACTACATTTACTTTTAAATAAACTTAAAAGCTCATTTTTCTTATTGGCATTTTCTGTAACCATAAACTCACAAGGAAGTACTATCATCTAAGTAAGAATGTCTGAGGGGTGATGACACATGTCTCTGGAGGCCAGGAAAGAGGTATGGGCTGGAGATGAGGATATGGAGTCATCAGTTATTAAAAGTTGATAACCATGGTGATCCTCTGGGCAAGGAAGACTTCACTGCATGATTTCTCATACCTTTTGAATTTTGTTCCATGTGCATGTTTCAGACATTCAAAAGTATAAATAGGTAGATAGACAGCTAGATGAATGGGTGTTAACGTTTAACTACCATTGGAGAGGAAGAAGATGAAAATGGAGTGGGCTGAGGAGGAAGATCCTCAGGACAGCAGTGGAAAACAAACCAGAGCCCAAGATCAGCCTCCAGCAGAAGGTATCTCCACTGCTGAGGCCCAAGAAAAAGAGATGATGGCTGTGGGTATAAGGAAGTGTGTAGAATGGAAGGATTCAGAACAACTAGGCAGCAAGACCAGGTCCCAAAGGTCAACGACTAGAGAAAAGGCTAGTGTTGTAGGGAAAGAGGTGAAGGTCTGAAACAACTTTGAAGACAAAAGGAAAGAAGGACAACAGAAAAAAAACATTTATTTTTCAGAGCTAGGGGCTCAGTGGAAGTTAGAGACTGAATTGGTAGTGACTCCCAGGTAGAGTTTTGTTATTTCCTGCAGAGGTGCTCGGCTGCCTAAAAGCAAAAGTGGGAACCTAGATGCATGGTTTGTAGTAAGCCCGGAAGTATTTGAGTGTATTGCCACCCCTGAAATTAGAACAAATGCAATTAGAATAAAAATAACACTACACTGCATTCCAACAAAATGCTGAATATTTCCATGATGATCTTATTTAGAATACCAAATTATCTCCCCCAACTATTTATTTTTCTCATATTTTTGTGTGTGCTTGTTTTAGTGTCACTCTATGGGGCCTAAGGTGATTTGGTTATTGGCATTGAATATGGGAATAAAAAATGAGTATAGTTTTGTTACATAGCATTTGAGAAGGAGGGAGGTGAGGCAAAGAAATTGGAGATAATTGCAAGAAAACTGATAAAGTGATGGACTACAAGGGTCTAATTTAGATGAAGAAGGGAGTAATAAATAGAAATAAAAGGCAGGGTGATATGGAAATATTTAACAACCAATATGGTACAGATGCCACCCAATTAAAACAGTTGCTCACCTCTCAGAATGGATTCACTGGTAAAAAGAACCTGGCAGGAGACAGGACTGCTCTTGGTCCTGAACAGAGAGGGTTTAATGAGGCCAAAATACCAGCAGTGGTAGGAAGGGCAGGGAGACAGGGAGGAAAAGGGTTATATGGGCAGAGGGTGGGCTTTGGGAATTCAGATGCAATTTGGGCAGGTGGTCAAGTCACCAGCGATGGGCCAAACCAAGCAAAGCCCCAGTGCAGCACTGAGGAGGAGGAGGGGTGGGCTCAGAAGCCCAGAGAGCAAACGGTTTTAACTTGAACTCTTTCACTCTCAGAGGTTAAAGGCCATTTGTACAGCTTCCTGCATGTGGCAGTCTAGAGCTGCAAAGTGCTTTCATGGAAAGGAACGACCAAGCAGTCATTTTAAAGTTTATTCTCTTGACTGATAGTTCTAAATTTCCCATAACACTTGCATTATGGATGGTTTCATGAAAGAAAGTGACCTGATTTTATGCTGTTTTTTTTTTAAGAAAGGTCAAAGCATGTGTATATGTGTGTATATATACATGGTCAGAGTACTGACAATAATCAGACCTTTGCAGAGTTCAGAAATCTCTGCTTATGAACTTATCGAGATGATTCAGTTATTTTAATCTTTGCAATTAACTGATACTTAGTTTCCTGACTTTTAGAAACTGACTTAGCCAAAAAAGATGAAAAGTCCTTACGTACCATAAATGGCAACCAGGAAAATCAAAGAGACTCAGATGGTGGGTATGTCAACTGGAAAAAAATGCACTTCTTATCCAAAGCTTAACACTAAATTCAAAGAAAGGAATTTGATCACCCAGTAGCCATGAAATCTGAGTTAAGTCTTTCATCACCCTCATCCTATACCCCCAAAGTAAGGTCATATTTAAAATCTATTGAAATCTTCAAAGGAAATTACCAGTTAGTTATTGAGTACCTTCTATATGCTGGTCACTATGAGAGACATTGGAGAACACAATCATGGATTTACGCCCATACAAACATGTCTGGGGGGAAGGAGCCATAAGAATACAAAGAGGTAAATGCCAAGACACACAATGAGTCAGAGCTCAAAAAACGGTGGGGGAGGGGAGCAAGACAGATAAAAGGAAAAGAAAGAGTGTAATAATCTAGAAACTCACAGGGAAGGGGAAGATTCTTGTAATGTAAGAGGGATAAAATTTAATAAAATTCTGAGATCTTGTTGGGATTTCAGATGGCTAAAGATAATCAAGTAGTCATTTATTTATTCAGAAACAATGCCAGTTCAGTCATGTAAGATGACAAAATGCTAGAGATCTTCTGTTCAGCAATGTGCATATAGTTTATAATACTGCATTGTACACTTAAAATTTTGTTAAGATAGATTTCAGGTTATATTGTTTTTACCTCAAAAAACAGAATGAGACTGTGCTGGGTATTAGGGACGTAAACTTAAACATTATTCTAGCCTCAAAGTGCTCATTGTCTAGCATGGGAAACAACAAAGCAAAATGAACACAGCTCAGTAGAGAACTGTCAGGATAGAAAGGCCAAGGTATAGTGAGGCTGCATAGGGGGCCTCCTGACGTAGACTGGGAGTGTTAGGAAAGGCTTTCAGGAAAAGAGAAAATGGGAGGTGAGTCTAGAAGGATGAGGAGGAATTACTTGCGTAATTTAGTGAGAAGAGTGCATGCAAGTGGAGGGGTGGTAGAAAAGAGATTGTAAGGAAAAAACACGGGCAAAGGAGACCTTTCAGGTGACCAGGGTTTGACCCGAAGTGTGAGCCTGAGGCAGTATCAGTTGTATTAGAAGATAAGTAGACTAGCTGGGCTAGAGCAGAGGATCCATAAAGGATGAGAAACCCTAGAAAAGGAAGGTAGAGGCCATCTGCTGTTTGCCTGAATTACTAAGAACTCAGCAAAATGACTGATGGGTGGTGGGACAAAGCATGAAATCAATGGGGTCAGGCTCATCATTATCAACCTGGCTTTATCACTGGCCCACCAGAGGATGACCGAGCACCGATTCACCATCCAGAGGAGCACTGTGAACTCAGTTCCAGTCTGAATAGGGAAGGCCCAGTCAGAGAGAAGGTGTCCCTAGGGACCTACCTGGGAGGCAGCATTATTATATTATGCGATACTCAAGGGCAGGACTGAGGGCTCTGAGCCCCTGTGAGAGGGCTGAGCAAGAACGGAGACATGATCCGAGGAAGGCAACAGGCAGCTTTCCAGGGCGGAGTAAAAGAAGCCAGATTGTAGACTAGGTATTCCCAAGTCTTTGCATCAGAATTAGCTCTGCTGATGAAAATTTTAGGTTCTTAGACCCTCTACTAAGTCCTCATTGTACATAGACAAAAAACTTTAGTAGTGATAAAGTGGAGAAAATAGGGTTGATTTCAGGTTGTTTTGAGGGTTGTTTGTTGAATGAACATTAGAATCAAATACAACACTGTGTTTCCCATTTTGTGGGTTAGGTATGTGGTTAAAAAAAATTTAGTGGGTCATGAAATCAATTTAATAACTAGCATTCTTCCTAGAATAAAATTGAAAAGAAAAGGATAAGTAAGGAGACCAGAAGTTTTTTTCCAATGAATAGAATAGAATAAAAAGAAGAAGACAAGTAGAAAACATAAGAAAAAGGTAAGAATAAATTATAAAAGGGCAAGTATTATTTCACATAACATTTTGTTTCATTTCATGCACACAAGTGCACATACCGGACTCTAACATAAAACACATTTTTCACGGTGGGTCATGGCCAAGCAAGTTTGATAAACATTGGCTTAGAACATCTCACAAGTTGTTAGTGATATTCTAAAACCAACAGATTATTTAATTTTGCAAGAACAAAAGGACAGCATGTATGCTGATCTAATCAAAGAAGGAAAAAAAGAACCAGTTATGTCAGAGGGTAAGTCAGGCGAGTTACAAACAATCCCTGTGATGCTAGCTGTCATGACTCACATTGTCCAATCTTACAGAACAATGCTGTGATCAGAAGAACATAGTCCAGCAAAGTAATTTTGAAATAAGTCTTTCTTTTCTTATACTCCATAAACATTTTGAAGGAGGAATAAAAAACGTCAACGATTTTTAAAAAAATACTGGAACATGTCATACTCACCTCAGACCTTCCCCAGAGACTGTAATCTCAGCTCTAGCCCTGTGTCTCCCCTTTGTGGCCTTTCCCTTTCCTTCTCAATTCTTCACTGCTCCAAGGAGCAGAAGTGGCAAGTCAGCCTCCTCCTCAGAAGGTGAGCGAAAGGAAGAGACTGAGAAAGCCTGGTTAGAATTCTCTTTGAGAAGGAAAACCTGGGAATTTTTGTCTCCTCAAGGATGTGTATACATATGTGTAAGCCAGTGGATGTGTATAAGCCCATGGATAAGCCACTGTTATGCACTGAGACTCTGAATAAAAGTGGTCTGGCATCTTGCAGCTCCCACACAGAGCAAGGCATTTAGAGAAACCTGGGATAGAAGGAACAAGATAGGGGAGAAAGACTCACTGCAAACAGCATGTGCTTTAAATGCTAACAACTCCCCTCCTTTAATTCTCTATTTACTGCAGTGGATTTCTTAGATCTGATTCCTCAAACCACTTCTGAAAAGCCACAAGGTCAAGAACTCATTAGCGGCAGGTGATAGACAAAACATTAGTCTTTTCTTATTCTCTACAAGGAACTGGGTAGAAGAAATTAACTGTCCCTACAACACAGCTCTTTTCAAACCTTCCCTCTTCCCACATCCGCGGGACTCTGCCTTGCTTACTGACTCTCCTAGCACCTCACTTCCTACTCTTATAACCCAGGTATGTCAGTAACAACTGAAGCCTTTCCTCAGAATGAATAAGTAAGGAAATGGACACAGGTATGTCCACAAGCCCAGATTTTCAAAAGATATAACTTGTATCTCTGAAAACGTACAGTATGATGGGCTTTGGAGTGGGGCTAGACATGGGGGATTGAAACTGGTCCACAGAGGAGAAGCAGGAACAGGAAAGGACGTGGAACTGACAGTGCAGCTGCAGACTTCAGGATGAGAAGCCAAGGAGCCAAGAGAAACTGCTCAGTGAAATAGCCTGAGGTCAGGGCAGAGGCCAGAACTTAGTTTTGCTCTATGAAAATGTCCAAGGACAGGGCTGTGGTTTGACTTTCCTCATCGAATCCTTCTCACATGCACTCTCCTCAGCTGTTAAGTAGTACTGCATATGGGAATCCAGCAAACACAAGGAAGAAGAGAATGAAAAATAGGCTTATAAAAACACAATCAGTAATGTATGTTTAAAATACTTATATCTTTTCATTTTTTTCCTTTTACAGATTCTGAAGGCAAAACTGTGTAACAGGAACAGATCTGATTAGACCAACTATAAAACTCTTTGGGAGTGTAATTTGTAAATGGAACTGGGTAGAAGAGACCAATATCAAAGAGAAAGACCCATAAATGTCTGTATTTAGGAAGAATAATATGAAAGATTTATTTCAGTCTCAGATAATATCATGCCAGACGAGTAAGTGACAGAACACACAGAAGGGCGGAGTTCGATCACTTTGTGTTACCTGTATCCACTCACATGCTTGCTTACTGTTGCGTTTTCTCATAAATAATTTGGTGCCAGTTGCTATCCTTTTAACTAAGTTAAAATAGAGGCATCAGTCATTGCATCCCTGCCCGTACAACAATCTGAGAGAAGCTGCTTCTTTCCTCAGGCCATACCTAAGACACGGGCCTCCATGGCCCTGTTTGCTCAGATGTCCAAACTACCTTGGCCTCAACTGATTGGGCCAGAATAGACTTACACTGAAGCCTTTCCTCAGAATGAATAAGTAAGGAAATGGACACAGGTATGTCCACAAGCCCAGATTTTCAAAAGATATAACTTGTATCTCTGAAAACGTACAGTATGATGGGCTTTGGAGTGGGGCTAGACATGGGGGATTGAAACTGGTCCACAGAGGAGAAGCAGGAACAGGAAAGGACGTGGAACTGACAGTGCAGCTGCAGACTTCAGGATGAGAAGCCAAGGAGCCAAGAGAAACTGCTCAGTGAAATAGCCTGAGGTCAGGGCAGAGGCCAGAACTTAGTTTTGCTCTATGAAAATGTCCAAGGACAGGGCTGTGGTTTGACTTTCCTCATCGAATCCTTCTCACATGCACTCTCCTCAGCTGTTGAGTAGGACTGCATATGGGAATCCAGCAAACACAAGGAAGAAGAGAATGAAAAATAGGCTTATAAAAACACAAATCAGTATTGTATGTTTAAAATACTTATATCTTTTCATTCTCTTCCTTTTACAGATTCTGAAGGCAAAACTGTGTAACAGGAACAGATCTGATTAGACGAACTATAAAACTCTTTGGGAGTGTAATCTGTAAATGGAACTGGGTAGAAGAGACCAATATCAAAGAGAAAGACCCATGAATGTCTGTATTTAGGAGAGAATAATATGAAAGATTTATTTCAGTCTCAGATAATATTATGCCAGACGAGTAACAGTGACAGAACACACAGACGGGCGGAGTGCGATCACTTTGTGTTACCTGTATCCACTCACATGCTTGCTTACTGTTGCGTTTTCTCATAAATAATTTGGTGCCAATTGCTATCCTTTTAACTAAGTTAAAATAGAGGCATCAGTCATTGCATCCCTGCCTGTACAACAATCTGAGAGAAGCTGCTTCTTTCCTCAGGCCATACCTAAGACACGGGCCTCCATGGCCCTGTTTGCTCAGATGTCCAAGCTACCTTGGCCTCAACTGATTGGGCCAGAATAGACTTACCTGACTCAAAGTGAATCAATCAGATATTCTCTTGCTCTTTCAAAAAATTTGAACTGAGAAAAATGGGTGAGTAAATTGGTGTCTGAGTGATGGAAGTGAACTAAAGCCAGCTACAAAGTCCTGCCCGTGAGGTTGTGAGAGCTAGGCAGGGCCGCCGTCTCCATACAGCCTGGCTGTGTATAGGTTTTCCTTGGATTTGCCTAGGATAGTTATCTTTACAATTCATCACATTTTTACTTTAGCTTTGACTGAATAGGTTTCTGTTTCTTGACACCAGGTCTGGCCTGAATAAACTGACTTTTGAAAGAAAAGCATAATATTTCTACTATATAGTTGCATGGTTTAAGTAAAGATTACAGTCATGACGAACTTTTGCTTGTTTCCAAATCAGCACCTCATTTGATGTTACTGTGAAGAAAACTTAATGTCTGCCCATGTTAAGGACATGTTGTGTCTTTAATCCTACCATTTCCCCTGCTTCTCCTTGTGGGATCGTCAACCAGAGGAGGGTGAACACAAAGAACAGAACCCAAATGGGAAGTCGCCTCTTGCTGTGCTCACAGCAAGGCAGGCGGTGGCTGCCCCATAACATGCAGGGCTTCTTCACCCAAGCACAGCTTCCCCACTGCCCTGAATCCGATACACCAGTCACTTATCAGCAGAAACCAGGTGGAAAAGCCAGAACAGAAAATACGACCACAGACATACATGGCTTTTCAAGGTAGCAATCCTGCCTCTTAATGATATTCTTCCCAGTGGTGTCAAGCTCTGACCGATCAGACAGTCAACACTTTCTAAAAGGTTGACATCTAAAAAAGGACCAGAGAGAGAGACATGAGAATTTCCCTTTAGGGACACTGTAGGAAATATTCAGGCCCTCCCCCAACAGACTGTACTTTCCAGCCTGAACATAAGGTATCATTTATTTTGTACCACTATAGGATGACTGGGATGCTCTAGGATAGACTCCCATAGGAGAATAGAACAAATTGATTTTAATCACTATACCTACTATACACATTTGTCCCAAATTAATATGAGATAAGGAATTACACAAGGAGGGAAGTATTAGTGTTTGCTATTTGTTTAATAACGATGACGCCATTTCAAAAATACCTCTCAGCGAGGTGTTTTATTTTGTTTTTCAGCTAATGCACTAGTTCACACGGTAGCTTGTGGCCCAACTTGGGAAATCTCACATCTCATCATCCCACTTAGAGTAACTTGAATGTGAAGTTATTAAAAATGATTTTCTCTGTATTATTAAAACTGTCACGGTTAAGGTCTGCAGGAGAAATATTCTGTAGAAATTTTAGAATATTACTTAGAGAAAGGCATTGTGTGAGTAAAATAATTACTGGTCATGGAAATAGAGGTTAAGTGTATATATCCTTGTAACTATAGTGGGCACTGTTAGTTGCCCTCTCTACAGCCCTGTCCCCATTCTCTTTACCAACTGAGCTCTGATTTTGTTGGGATGGGCAATGGGCCTAAACCTAAGGCATGAATCTTGATAGATCTAAGCTAGTCCCACAAGCCACACAGATTGTCTAGGGATGGGTATGTGACCCAGTTTTCTACAATGACACATAAAGAGGTCTCTGGAGGTGTGAGACAGAGAGAGTGGTATGCAAGGAGAAAGCACTTTGGCTTCCACCTATTTCCTCCCTACTTCAGTACTGTTTACCAGGATATAATGCTTGCAGTTTGGGCAGCTACTTTGTGTCCATGAAGAGAGACATCACCAGCGGGGTGCCAACAAGAGGGAAGCTGTGCAGAAAGAGAGAAAAGCCTGGCATCTTGGCCTGAGGACTTGGTGGTCTCAAAGAGCCTCTGAACCAACCCTGGACCAACTTCAGAATTTCTGCCAAATAAACAATGAATAACTTTATGGTTTAAGCCCCTGTTACTTGTGGCTTCTGTTACTTATAGCCAATGAATATATTCTTATGTACATGACTATCTGTACTTACAGTCAAAGAGCTATATAGCTTGTTAGAAAAATATCTTCCAATAGGTTTTTGTTATTTTTTTTTAGTGGAATGAATAAGTAATATAGTTAGATCGTTTAAACAAGTGACTTCTCCCACTCATCCAAGCTTAAAACCTGTATTGACTCCTACATTTTTAACATTCTCCCCAGTTCCAGTTAGTAAATGCCATCAGCCTAGCTCAGTCCTAGACCAGTAGTTTTCAACATTAGCAGAATCAGAATCATCTGTTAAAACAGTGCTGGACCCCATCTCCAAGGTTTCTGATTCTGCAGGTCCTAGGTAGCACTGGGGAATTTGCATCCTTAACAAGTTTCAGGGGATAACGATGCTGCTCATGGGGACCATACTTTGACCACTGCTGCCTTAACCTGTGGGCAGTCACCTCCTAAGTAAGCCATCTCCCAATTCCCTTTGCCCACACCCACACCTCAGATACTTTAGTCTGAATTTCACTTTCTGACCACAAGATTCCTCTGCATACTTACCAGTAAATTGTTTTAGGACTTCTTAATTTCATCCTGACTGTTTGCCACAATCCTTTGCAGCTTAGGTTTGCTGCCTCCCTGCCTTTGCACATACCATTTGTCCTGCCTATTTCATTGAACCCTCTTTAAGTCTGACACAATGGGGTGGTCTTCCCTCTCTTGCTCAAATCATTATTTCATTCTTTTTTTTTCAGAGAGATGAAAATTATGGGACTCCAACAGACAGAAATAGATTAAAGAGCCTTTTTCCTCCCTCTACTCCCTAGCCGGTGCAAGTGGGAAATGTAATGTACAATCTGCATTTGCTCCTTTGCTGGCCTTTACTTGAGCATCTTTAACTCTCAAGTGGCCCTGGCCTAGAATTTAATGTTTACTCATTCTGCAGAGGACCCAGAAAGGTTACCAGAACTTACAACTCAGCTGCTGGAAGCAATACCATAACCCTAAGAGTGAGCAGCTGCTCTGCCCCTATTAATTTCTTCTGGGCAGGCATTATGAGCCCACAAAGAGATCTAATCACAACTTTCTTCACTGGCACAAAGAAGTATGATTCCTGGGCAAAGGGGCCATAAGCAAGGGTTTGCAGGTCGCATGCCGGCTCCTCCCTCCTTGGGGGC